CTGCTTGGGCCACGTCGCGGGCCCCCCGCACTGAGGGAGACCGGATGGCACTTCAGTACTACGCCTGGGGCTACATTAAACCACGAAATCGCCAACACGGAGCACAAAGGGTGGAAAATGTGGCGTTAGATAGACCGCATAAAGGACACTGGCTTCCCGCACGAGGGCCAAAACGTGTCTGACCTTAGCTGGGATCGAGGGTACCAGGCAACTCAAAATCTCCTCCACTCTGTGTCCGAAAATGACCACAAAGGGCCGGTATCGATTTTGAGGTGACAAATACATTTTAGTGAATAGGCAAATTCACAAATATGAAAGCTGTGAATAATGAAGATTGACTACCCGCACACATATGTTTGTGTACACACACACACACACACACACACACACACACACACACCCTCTCTCTCCCTCTTGGACCACTCAGGAAAAATGGAAACTCGTCTACTTCCTTTGCTCCATCCTCGGAGTCCCAGCCCGCTGTACCTTCACTGGCCTGGACCACTGGGCTGGTTCCCCAGTCACTAGGCACTGTCCTTCCCTTCTCCCACAGCCCAGAAGCCCCAATCCCCAACCTTCTCTCCCATCCCCACGCTGTGCACAGCTCTGGGCCCAGCTCAGCACCCTCCCAGCCTCCCGTGCATCCCCCACGTAGCCCCAGAATCTTCCTGCACCCAGAGCTGCCCCGCTCCTCTCTGCTCACAGCCCTCGTGGGGCTCCCAGCACCCTGGGAGAAAGCCCCTGGTACGAAGGGCTGCCAGCCCCTCTAGCCTTGTCCCCGACTTCCTCCCTCCTGCCTCACTGCTCCAGCCACACCAGATATTGACTAGTCCTCCAACCAAGTCCGCCCGTGTCCTCTGGCTCTGCACACATCATCATCCCCTGCCCTGGATGGGCTTTTGCCACCTGACGCCCGCCAGGTGGCTGCTCTCCTTCTGGACACAGTTCGGGGCTGGCCTCCCGGAAATTTCTCCGCTCCAGGTAGAGGAGGTCACTGCCTCCTGAGTGCCTGTCACCCTGTGCAGAGGTCCACAGACGGCCCGCAGCAACGAGAAGAGGAAGGCCCAGGTCGGACCATTCTCCCTCCGCAGGCTAAAGATGTGTGTGGTGACTGAATGACCGGAAGCCAGTAATGGCCCGAAAGGGCTGTGCCATCCTCAGGATGCTGTAAATTGCATGAGTTCTTTCCCCACAGGCTGTCGCTGCCGTGGGACGTCCCTGCTCCCAGGGACCAGATCTGACTCAGGCAACGGAACGCCTTGGGGCACTGCACCATTCGACTGTTTCAGATAAACTAAGATGTGCAAGGAAATGAAGAAATATTTGTTGAGTGAATGGAAAAAGGTCATGCACACCAGTGAGAGGTTCTAAGGCAGGAGACTGGTACTGGTCCGTGGCCTGTTAGGAACCAGGCCGCACAGCAGGAGGTGAGCGGCAGGGGAGCGAGCGAAGCGTCATCTGCATCTGCAGCGGCTCCCCAGAGCCAGCATCACCGCCTCAGCTCCGCCTCAGGTCATGGCATTAGATTCTCATAGGAGCACCGGTCCTGGTGCCAGAAAGGTTGGGGACCGCTGCTCTAGAGGACAAGTTAGGGTTCCAGTAAACCTGCACCTACCAACACTGCCCCCTCGTGGTCCTTGTAGTTACTGCGTTGAGTCGCTCGACTGGGCTGGGGGGTCCAGGACAACAGCATAGCCCACCACCCACGTCTCCCTGTGGAGCGTCTTCCCGTGCCTGGCCCTCCCTCCGAGGTCGTGGTTGGGACTGTGGCTCTGGAACGAATGGTGACTCGTACCGAAATCATCAATATCAAAATGATCGCAAGGACCCATCTTACTAACTCTGCGCCAACCTGGCGGTACAGAACCTCTTAGCGAAGTGCTTCCCATTGGCAATGGCCTCTTTGAAGGGGAAGGTGGAAGAGCCATGAAAAGAAAATCCGACCGTTCTTAGGAGTCAGGGGAAGTGGCTGGGGAGGATTCAACTCAGCGGAGCCTCGGCGGGTGGTTCCACTGATAAGAGATGCCCTCAGCTGATTCACCTCTGGGTGCCCAGCATTTCTCAGCACAGGGACTGGCACACAGATGTGCTCAGAAAACAGGTTCTGAGTGAATGAATGAATGAATGAATGAATGAAGGGCTCACGTATGTGCTGTCCTGTCTCCTGGCAGCCCCACCACTCCCTTGCCTGCCTGGAGAACTGCTTTGCTCTCTGTGGGCTGGGTTAGGGGTCTCTGGGTGAAGGCTCCCAGCAGCTGAGGCCAGATCACGTGTCTCCCCTTGGCTCCCACAATGCCCCAGGGGCTGCTCCCACCCTCACACGCAGTGCCTGCCTCCTGTCTGTCATCTCCCAGCCTGGGAAGCTCCCAAGGTCGGGGCACATCTGCTTGACCTGTGTGTCTACACAGAAACCTGGGCCTGAAAAGGAACGCTCCTGTATCCATTC